TCCATCTATAACCTGGGATCAGGTGTCTCAGAAAAAAGTAAGTCGCTTGTTGTCCTCAGCCTGTGTAGTATTCTGATTTATGTAATCATTCTCTAGTCTTAACTTGAAATAAGTGCCGCTTTTATCCCAGAATGCCAAACCACAGTCTTCTTCGCTGCAAATGCTAAGGTATGTCAGGAGGACGAGGTGTGGCATGACGCCAGCCCGTTTCGCATATGTTGTTTGTCATTTTGGTGATTGGTGGAAAACAGGCTTGCGCCGCGCTAAATCCACTCCGTGAGACGCTGAGTCCTCAACGAACACGAATGCATCTAGCTGGTGATTGAGGCTGTGGATAGTTTACTTATTGCTGGTGTACGTTCACTTCTACCTGGAAGACAAACCTCGTCTAGGGAGGCCACCTGCCTTGGATTTGGACCTACTGTGTTCCTTGATTAAAACCAATTCGTACGAATCAACTCTATCTAGTCCTTACACTTGACTGTTCCAAAAGCACAGAGGACGGACGTTCTTACTGCCTCAGTATAGTATTGAGTTTCGGTCAAAAGTTTCTCATGAGTTGACCGGTGCTCAAGGGGGGGGGGGCGTGTATCCAAGTATACAAATTATACGCACCGCATGTATACAAGTTCCCTGCCGCACCCGTCACGGACTGGTTTATCAACGTTGTAATTGGATGTGGAGATCTCTCGGTACCCACACCCGGAAGCGCCAGTGGCTAGTTCAGATTTCTGGTAGCTTGTTGTATGTAGGATGGCTTATACAACGACCTAGGGGGCCAGCCGATGTATATATAAATCATTGTTCTCATACTATTATTGTTGTATTTAAGCCGACCAAGATTGTTAACGTTTATTAGGCCAACGTTTCGGCTTCCTCGCCTTCGTCAGAGCCTGAAAGAGTCCGAAACAGTTGTGATTTGCTCTCCCAAACGCCTTAACAAAAACTGAAGACCCTTTTGAGAAACTGGTAAAGGACCTTTTGATCTCCGCCGTGGAGACGCGAGATCGACCACCCGGCTTGCAGTAATGCGATGAGTGCAAAAACTGAAGACCCTTTTGAGAAACTGGTAAGCAACCTAACGGCATCGATCGGTTAAAATGACTCGGCTTACCTTTGATCTCCGCCGCGGAGACGCGAGATCGACCGCGAGATTTTTGTTAAGGCGTTTGGGAGAGCAAATCACAACTGTTTCGGACTCTTTCAGGCTCTGACGAAGGCGAGGAAGCCGAAACGTTGGCCTAATAAACGTTAACAATCTTGGTCGGCTTAAATACAACAATAATTTGACGGAACAACTATGCCAAGATTAAGAGAGAGTCGGTCGTGGAGGATGTTCTCATGCTCCCAGACGAATCTGGTACCAATTTGCCGTCCCTGAAGGGTAGAAGGCTAGGTTTGCCTAGTCAGAAGTCGTTCAGGCATTTGACCCTCGAACGGCGCGTGTGTAAGCGTGCCAGTTGCCTTTGCGCCACCTCCGCCTCTTGATTTATACAGGGACTACTTCGGAGTTCTAGCTTACTTTTATTCATACGTGCCGACTCAGTATTATAATTACTATTTCAATGAGGCGGAGGTGGTGTAGTGACAAGTGGCGCGCTTACCACTCGCGCGGCCCGGGTTCGAATCCCGGGTCGACACCCGCCCAGGCCAACCAAGCCTTCTACCCTCCGGGGACGGTAAATTGGTACCAGATTCGTCTGGGAGGATAAAACACTGACTTGTACATCGGCTGGCCACCGCAAGTCATTGTATAGGCCACATCGCATTCAATAAGCCACTACGATTCTGAATGGAAGTAGAATGCGTGCCGCATCCCACAAAGGGATTGATCAACGGCGAAGACTTTATCCTTTATCCTTTTATCAAAGAGATTTGTTGAGCTCTACTATTTAGTGTTTGTCTTCATTGTTCGGAACATTCATAAATCTCGTAAGTTGTTCATGCTGTCGGATGTTCGGAGGAAAGTTTCTGGAGAGCAAAAGTCAGGCAACTGATCAGGAGATGCCAGTGGAATTCTGTGATTCCTACGCGGTATGTCATCTGCTGGAGCTGTTGATCTTGAGTAAAGAACTTTTTTATTTCGCTTTGGCTCCGCTTTATGTATTTTTAATTTTTATGTTTATTAATGCGGCCAAAGAAATGAGATTATAATTGTTCCTTTCTTCGTTTCTATACGAAAATGCGGTAAAGAAGCTTTTGTCAAATGGATGTTCCTTCGCTGCAGACATTTTCTCATAGCACATTGTGGCCGAGCATTTGAAGGAAGGCAAATATGGAAGAGGAAAGAGAGAAGAAAGCAAGGAAAACATAGAAGGAGGCGAAAAACTGAAGATGGAGGGAGGCTTTGCGGTGAACAGATTTTTTTTTCTAGGTTTGGGAGTCGCAGTGAAGGAAACATTTGAAACACCATGAAGCCTATTGTTAGCTTGAAGACAGAGTCCACGCTGACCAAGTGGGCGGAGACTGCAGACCATTTGTGGTTTTCTTATTGGCGCATTCCTCGTGACCCTAAAAGGAGACGCGTCATTGAGGAAGGCACAGTGGTTCTCTGCGATTGTACGCGAACGGCGTAGGGCATTAGCTTTCAGAGTGGTGAACGGATTTGAGACTTCTTCTAATTGAACATTCCTATACCGAAAGTTTTCTCTTCTGGAACTGTTCTCGATAACATCTGGCAAAATTGGTAGTACCGTCAACAAAACAGTTCCACCTGTATGCATTTTATCCATTTCTTTACGAATGAGAAAAGAAGTAACACCCAGAATCCATACAGTAATTGTATAGAATTCGTTGAAAATAAGCTTGTTTTTTCCGCTAGGCATCACTGATAGTGATGGTTTTAGAGGTCAAAATGTTATGTAATGCTCAAGTCGAAATGGCAAATGTATTGACGGTGTTTCTTAGGATACGTTACTAAAAGAATGCCAAATGGGTCCAGCGCCGAACCGCCGTTGAATATGCCATCTAAGCCATCGTATGGGACATGCCAAAAGTGAGGTTTTTCAATATCGACAGAGCTCGCCTTCTTAAAAGCAGGTGCAACTACAATTCTCAAGATTAGCTGCAACGTTTTATTGCCAGCCTTGTCCCTAAGACTCGATTATAGCATCATTAAGGGACTGTAATTAAATCCCAAGGGAGTCAAGAGCGCTACACTGATGATTAAGTATGACTGGGCCATTGAAACAAAGTCGAACTGGCAAAAAAATGGCTTAAAAATGAAACCTAAAAATATGTACATTACTTTTCACTTGAAGAAACTCAGCGCTAGCAACCTTTTCGAGGGGCATTCACAGGACCTGTCGAACCTATTACTTTCGGAAAAACTGTCTCGCGCAGGGAAAAAAATTTCTAAGGCCTAAAACGATCCCTTGTTTTCTTTCAATGACCGAATGTACGTTCCGAGAACAGGGTACAGCATGAGGATGTGCGAAATGTCGGTGTGAGTACGACCCCCCCCCCTCCTCCCCAGAGCAAAAGTACGATCCCCCCATGTGTTTCACACAAGGATGCCGTACCCTGTCCGAGAAGATCCCTGCGTACTAATTTTTCCCTGATCTGGTTGGAACACACGGTAAATGAAAGGCATATCCCTCATCTGTTCAGATGGTCAATGCTCCTTATCCAATACTTATCATGCCTATTGCTTCCAATACTCGATACATCTTACTTACCTACTCTACAACTAACCTGGAACAGATTCTTTTTTTTCCTCGAAAAGTGAGACTTTCTCTTCTCGACCGCTGACCTCTCACTCATCCCACCATTAATCCCTTTCTTCCATGTCTCTGTAGTGCTCTGAACCGAATTGCAGTTTTCTGGAATGCGTAGTGTTTTTTTTCGCTGCGGACGCTGGAGCTTGTCAGGGGGACCGATTCTGCCGGTTCTACACCAGCTGAAGCGTTCTTCAACTGTTGGTGGAAAACTCGCTGTTGTCATGACATACGCAGCCCCTACTGACATGACTCAGCGCCTGCAGCGAAAACGACGGTGAACCATGCTTGAATGAACAGTCCCAACACACCGTAGATGCGCTTAGCCCTCGCCAGAAGTTCCTCTTGTATATCTTGGCCATCGAGTTCTTCCCACCTCAAGGTTTTCGGACACCGCGTTTCAGGATTCAGGAGCACCACCCACCTCAAGTAACGCCCCACTTCAGGTGCCTCGTCCACTCATCCTGTCAACCCCTGCTGACCTTTCCCCTTCCCCCCCCCCCCCCTTCTCTGGGTTGTTCTAGGACCGAATTATGACGCTGCTCTTTTTCAGTGCTTGCTCCACCCATAATGACGCAAGTCACGTTTGTTGTTTGCTCTGTATATACCATTTTCACTTTGAATTCGTCCTTTTTCAAACCAAATTCGTCC